CTTTCTATATATTTTAGGTTAGAATAGAAAAATTCTAGGGAAAAACTATCTGTTCTTCAGAGATCACAAGATAGGTTCCAATATAATAATGTGTCTTGGATGTAGGGTGAAGCTGAATGTTCCTTAGTAATTCGGAATGCCACGTGCACAGAAAGAAGAGTAGAATTCCTATTGGCTAACAAGTTCCACAGGATGTATAGGACAAACTTGAGCAGTTTGACTGGTATTACAATTTCTGGACCCAGTGTGATCCAGAATAGAGTCTATATATTGTCTTCTGTGACATCCAGCTTCTTCCTAAAGGCCTCTTATCGATATAGCTTGGTTATCCCACTCATCTCTCCTTATCAGACTCCTGCTCCAGTGGATGTACTCGGGTCTCAGGCTTAGAAATACAAGCCTGCAAATTATGAATGCATTCCTTGTACAATATGTTTTAAAAAAGCATGGAGTAGAATTTTAACAAGTCAACTTCTATATCAATTCCATAAAGAAAAAAAAGAACTTTGTTTCCCATCATGTTTTTTTTTTTTTGCTCTTTTTCTCTCATGCACTGAAAATGTCAAAACCGTCCCAACCACTAAGAATACCATTGCTACAGATAATCCCTGCAGTGGATATAACAGCATCTGCATCCACAGGGGAAATTCAATTCTCCTTCACTCAGTGGGTTTCCCAGTGCCATCAATATCTAATGCACTGACATGTTCTTCAAACCAATTCTTCTCAGTGTCTCTCTTTATAAGACACCAGTACATTTACAAGACCCAGAAAATGTCTGCTTCTAATTTTCTCAAATGGTAGTAGAACTGCAACTGACATTTAAAAAAAACTTTGTTAAATCCTCAAATACATGTTTTGTTTTTCTTTTGCTATTTTTTTCTCTCATGCACTGAAAATGTCAAAACCATCCATTACCCCTACTTATACCTTTTGTGTCACTATACCCCACTCCCTCTAGAATGTAAGCTCATTGAGCAGAGTCCTTAACCCCTCTGTTCCTGTGCGTCCAACTCGTCTGGTTACAATTACGTGTCTGTTAGTCCACCCATTGTACAGTGCTAGGGAACTTGTTGGCACTTTATAAATAATAAAATAATAAAAATAAATACACAATAAAACATAAATATAACAAATTAATACATTGTTAAGTTCAACAAAGTAATCTGTAAGCAACCCAAAATATTACAAATATCAACACTAAATATACTTAACAATATGGAAACCTGAAAAGCCAAAAATAAATAAAACAAATGTTTGCCGAAATATTTGGATTGTTTTTGGTACACTGAGTCTCGGCTCTTTATCTTAAGTTAAGTACATTTTGGGTTGCTTTTTGTAATATATTTGGTTGCCTTATGGATTATTCTGTGAAATTGTATGATATAATATTGCATCATTTTTTTTGTTTATAAACTATTATTGTTTACATAAAGAGAACATACAGGGATACATAGAGGAGGTGGTGAACATTTCTCACACACAATCCATTTACATCAATGAGAGGACCCATGCAAGGGCCATAGTTTGTTATAAAGCTTCTCAGAAATAATTTTGATTAATAGTCAGGTACATACCGCTAGAAAGCTTCATATGTTGTGCGATAGGGTAAGGGTATCAACCAAGAAGGCATTTAATAAAACTATAAATGGTACATAGGTTCCTTATACTGTTTTCACTTTAGAGTACAGTGGTGAGATACAAATCATATAATACATAGGTGAAATATAGATCATATAATAGAGGACCTTAGATAATGTACCGTCTGGTGAAGAGGGAGAACTTAAGCGGTTGCACAGCTAGTAGGGTGTTCGTTCGGTATCATTATCCCCGTAGGGTTCCTTATATGAGCGTATTAATTTTGGGTTTACCCCTCCTAGAGTGTGCGTTGGCCATTTTGGGTGATTCCATCTGTTCGAGGATGGTTAGATTATACTCAATTTATCTTTATGGGTTACTTACTTTCTGGGTTTCTGATTAGGTGAGGGGTATATGGCCGAACATGGGCCACTACGGGTCTAGTATGTACCATAGTGGGAGGTGTCTTTTTCCTAGACCGGCAACGGGCATCTAGGGTCAGGAGACGATTAGTATTGGACCTGTGGTAGCGGATACCTGTGACTATTAGCTAGTACTCAGCTGTGACTGTTTCTGAGGGAAAGTATGTAAGTCATAGCTCAAGATAGAAAGTTAAGAGCTGGGGGGAGGGAGTGGCCGAGAGGAGATCGGAGGGGGTGTATTCACATGACTGGTAGTCCCTTTGCTGTGAAAGGGTTCCTTGTTGTGGTGTCATGGTGTCATGGGTCGGTGGTAGGTTTGGACATGATTCCCAGACCTCTTGGAAGAGGGACTGTTTGTGGGACACTGAGGCTTGTATGTTTTCCATTATCTTAAGCGCGTCTACTCTGTTGATCCATTCTCTGATTGTCGGGGTAGAGGGATTTTTCCATTTTACTGGAATGAGGATGTTGGCTGCTGTGAGGAGGTGGGGTATAGGCCTCCTATGTGCCTTGGTGAGGGTGTGGGGTAAAAGCAGGAATAGCAGAGTGTGTGGGATATGGGGAAGTTGTATTCCCGTTACTGTTCTGATCATTGTCACTATGTTCTTCCAATATCTTTGGGTTTGGAGGCAGTGCCACCAAATGTGGGCTAAGGACCCATCTGGTTGGGCACATTTCCAGCAAACATCTGTAGTACTGGGGAACAGGGCATGTAGTTTAGATGGGGAGTAGTAGTTTAGATGGGGAGTAATGCCAACTGGAGATTCTTTTATATCCGCTTTCCTGTATTGTGGTGCAAATAGATGTCTTATGTATTTGGTTAAATATAGACATCCATTGTGCTGGTGTGAATTGTTTGTTGAGGTCCTCAGTTCATGAGATGGTAAACTTGGGTGGGTGGGCCATGTGGTCTGTCAGCGGGGATGGATACGGGAATACATTGACATTCTCACGCAGTCGTTCCCATGTCTTGAGTGTGGATGGTATTGTGGGGTGTGTGTCATGGTCTAGGAGCAGCTGCGTGGGGCGAGCCTTTTGCCCTGGAATCGTGTGAATAGGGACTTTAAACATGGCAGCTTCTAGTTTTGTCCAGTGGTGGGTTGGCGGGTATTGGGACCATTCGTATATTCTTGTTAACATTATAGCTTTGTAGTATCTCTCCATATGGGGGAGACCTAGGCCACCGCAGGACTTTTGTCTAGTAAGAATTTCGTATGAGAGTCTGGGTTGCTTATGCCCCCAGATGAATGAGATGAAGAGGCCTCGAAGCTTGGCAAAGAAGGATTTGGGTAAAGTTATAGGTAGGGGTTGGAAGAGGTACTGTATTTTCGGTAGCATGTTCATTTTAAGAATGTTTATTTTACAGAGCCAAGAGAATTGTGGTTTTTGCCTGGAATATTGCATCATATTTATGTTTTAGTGTGTATATTTATGTGCTGATTTCATATAAAAGATGCATGTTTTACTTTTGGTGAGTAGTTTGAGGATCTTTTAATCCCTGTATTTTTTTGATGTTTTGGAGTGCAGGTAAACCAACACCCATTTAAGTATATACTTGGTTGAGTGCTGTGAATCCTGATTAACTTGTGTGTGCTTTTAATTTTCTATCGCATTTATTGTTTTTACATTGTAAAATATTTTCAATTGCATTTTATAATTTCATCACAATTTTATAATTTATAAATCTTTAAATGTAATAATTATAATTAAAATGTATAATTTTAGAATTATTTCAACATCGACCCATGCCATTCCACGTAACTATGCTCTATGATCTTTTTTTTTTTTTTTTTTTTTGTTGTGCATATCAAGGATAATATACAAGTGTGAGGTACCCCGACGGCAATCCTCAAGCTAACTCGTATCACTTATAACAATGGGGAAGACCAGTATGCATGCACATTTTTAAATTTTAGTCAGTGATGTTAAAGCAAGAGGATGTCATGCTAGGTAATGATGTCGCAGTAATAAGACAAAAACATAGACAAAAACAGAGCACTCTTTTATGAGACTGATAAGTGAACAGGGTAATGTCTTAAGTTTTATGAGAACATAAAGGAACATTTGCTTGTCTCCAGTGGTGTATTTTGGATTTGTGCTGCCCTAGGCACGACTAAATTCGGACACCCCCAACATCTAAATTTGCCCCTCCCCAATTCGTGTCAAGGCCATTTTTTTTGACTGACAGACACATGCCCTCATTGATACATGCACTGATATACACTCACTGACAGATACACAGTCATTGGCACTCACATACAGTCATTGGCACACACTAGTTAACCAACACACACTTTCACTGACATACACACACTGACACACACTCACAGGCACACCCATTCTCACTCACAGACAAGCCAGGACAGTACCTGATCTAAACATTGGTAGTCCGTTCAGTATAATTTTCAATGTGCTACACTAGGTGGGAGTAAAATAAACTGAGGATATATGGATCAATATGATCAGTGTGTTGGTGTACGGGTAGGTGTCGTCTTAACTTGACAGTATCTTTTAATGCATATTTAATGAGCCCAGCAAATACATCTGTACAACTCTGTGGATATTAACAATCAGGTTGCATGCTAGGTAGATCAAGACATGTGTGCGTTGCTATAAGTCATAGTTTAGGCAGAGTAGATAGATTATTTAGCTGGGTACTTGTGAAGTGTATATATAATGATAAACTAATAAACATGAAATGAAACAATACTGTGCATTGTTAGTAACAAATGACAGGTAGTCTCTCCGGTCGCCATTCATCCAACGCCACGTGCAGGCCGTGATAGAGAGTTCTCTGTATCGGCAGCCAAGCAGCCTCTTGTCATCGCGGGGTACCACTGGGAGCAAGAATTGGTTGAGTGTCGCGTGAGTTCTCTCAGGCAGTGCTGGGGCCGCTCCGATCCCCATGCCTGGTTTGGATCGGGAGTTGCTTCCCTGTGTCCATGGGTCCCGCTGAGTAAGATCTGAAGGTGTCTAATTGCTGGGCTGTGCAGCTGGAACAGGGTCCCTCTTGATGTGGTGTGCACCCAAGGAAGCCCTGGCTTCTCCGGTCCCCTCCGCTTTGCTGCTTTGCTTGGGTGAGGGAAGTGCTGAGCTCTCTGCCTCCATCTTATATCTCTGTTCGTTGCCGACGCTGTAGGTTGTTGTGAGGAGAGCGGAGGCTGTCTAGGTGAGTGGTCATCCGATATTTGTAGTGCCCCATGTTGCTGCTTGTGCTGAAGGGGGGAGCGATGCGGGGGGAGCCCCGGGGTGAGCCCCTGTTTAGGCTTTGGGCGACTCACCCGTGGTCGAGAGGTGAGGTGCTCAGGCTTGCGACGGGTCTCCCGCCTCTGTCTCCCTGCTTTCCAGGTCCCTCTCTGGGCCCATGTTGCTATTGCGGGCTCCTGCCTGGAGTCCTTTGTGGCTGATGCTGGTAGGGCCCCTTCCTGGGTGTCCCCGCGGCCCTCCATCTTGGCCCAGAAGTCCGCTAGTAGTTGGACCAGCCTTTCCGACAGTGGGAGTATTTCATGTGCGTGGGCCTATTTGATGTCCGCCTTTTGAAGTGTCGACGGCCCAGTGGCGGCGGCCTGCTGGGGTTGGTGCCTCTGCTTTGGGCTGCTAGTTTTTGTTGCCGGGATAACCCCCACTGGCGGGGGGGGGAGAAGATGTTCCGGGCAGGCCTCTAGTGCAGTCGGTCACAGTCGGCTGGGGGATTGGCTGTCTCCCCAATGCCGTCTGGGTAGGCCTCGGGGCTATTTTCCAGCTACTGTTGCCAGAGATGATCAGGTTCTTGGTTCGGCTGTTTCTCCATCGTGTACCCCTAGTTTTGGGGTTGGAAAGCTGGCTGTGTGAGTAAATTTGCTGTATTTTTAATAGTTTTTGGGTTTTTAAGCCAGGAGCTCATCTGCTGTGCGACCACTCTGCTCGGCTGTCAGGGTCCGCCCCCCTGCTCTATGATCTTTAAAATGCCCTATTGATAGAATCCAAATTTATCTTAATGCAGACAGTTGGGTTTGTTTAATGTTAGTATTTTGTGCAATTGATAGCGACATTTGTAATGTTCTAATGAAATCTTTTCGTATAGTGGGTTAGTAAATAAACCAAATTAAAATATGTGGACTCCATGCTATAAAACAGATCATTTATTTCAACAATAGTACATATTCCTCACTGTAGACTCTTTGTTGCAGCCTAAAACATCCTTCTCGTAAAATAACCAATCATTATCACTTCTATGCAGTGAGATGCATTATGGGAACACTCTGTATGCACATAGAGAAGCATGGGATGCACACCAAATCTGGAGCCCCAAGCAACACCGTTCCCACAAAACCACTTCATTAATGGAACACTTTAGTTTTAAAACTACGTTTTTTACATTTTTGGTTCCAAGTGTTTGTTGGCTCATTTAGATTTTAGGGCCACCCGTTTTTCTAAAAAAGTTACAGATAAAATAAAACTTTACTTAACTGTAATCTAACATCACAATACATGCATCAAATGCTCCTCATAGAGAAGTATTCAATCCTATGCTTCTCTACGAGAAACATTAACATTCAATGTTCTCATCCAAAGCATTAAGGCGTTGAACTTCAAGAACCGAGTTTCACTTAGGAGAAGGTGTGTTTAACCCTGAAATGTACACGATGTTGTATCAAGAAAACTGAATTTTCTTACACTGTGGTAAAGAAACTGCAAGGTCATTGCACCAAGATCACTACATTGAGAAGAAGTGGTTTGGGTGCTTACAGTGTCCAATTAAGATGACGAGATTTAGACTGTCTCTAGACTTAGACTATCTCTTTAACTTGAGCAGCACTCTTTTTTTCACCTATTTTTATGTCAAGGCTTCATCTATCCACAACCAGAAATCTACCACTCTTGGTTACCAAGGGTCGTATCCCAACAAAAGCCAAAACATTTTTCGAAATGAACTTCTGTTGCCCAAAGTTTTTAATTCAACTTGGTGATTAAACCACCTTGAGAAAAACTTCGTAAACAGAAGCAAGAGAACAATGAGAGGTCTACAAGTGGAAATTGCACAATGTAAAAGGTCTGCTGCTTAATATGACAGACATCATTTAATTCTTCAACTCTAAAGCCTTCAAAAACACATTCAGAAACATATTTCAGACACATTAAGTGATGTTCCCTCAGCACCCAACTTGTCAAAGCAAATCAATTGGGAAAAAAAAGTCTAAGTTAACTTAGTTAAACTCTTAACTTACTAAAAAAAAAAAAAAAAAACACAGCTTAGTGATCGAGCACATCCACAGTACATCCCAAAAAATTTAAACCATGCCAGCAACCAACGATATCATCTGTAGATCTCCTGTTATTAACCAAACTCTGCTCTACACTATTATTTGTGTACTTCGTCTCACGTCTCATATTTCATGAAACAACGGATTTATACACTAGAGGTTTATTCACTAAACAGTTAACTGAAATCTGAACTGCAAAATGTAGCAAGGAGAGCCAAGCTGTGATGGCTAAATTTAAGATTTTTTTTTCCATAAATCAGTTTGCTTTTGCAATTTGAATTTCAATTCAATACAGTTCTGTGTTTAGTTCTAGTACTGTTCTCTTCTGCTCTGTATTTAAGTCATCAATTTCATGACATTTTTTTGGGGGGGGAGGTCTATTGCACTGGTTATTATAATCTTCAAAAGCATCATTTTGAAACTTACAACTATGTCCCAAAGAATAATATTAACATTGTAAGTAGAGGTGAATCCCTCCAATATATAGCCTCATTTTGGGCTACTTTGTGCTAATGCTAAATTATAGCAACTAATCAAATGCATTGATACATAATTAACAAAAATACCTGGGAATTAGTGGGATGCTTCCTTTTTATGAATCCTCTGTATCTACTGCAAATGTAGCTACAGTAATAATATATAATTGTTTATAAAAAGGAAGGGTGGGGTGTATTAAAAAAATCACTGAATTGTGGTGATTTGAAAAAGGAATTGCACAATAACCCTAGCTGAGACTATGACTGATGTGTAGTATTTTTCCAAATCAGCACTTTTTCTACATTTTACCATTTGGTTTTCTATGTACCACTATTCATGTTTAGTAAATAAACCCCACTGTCTTATCCCCATTAGCTCCCATTGCGTGTATTATAAAAACGCAAAGATTTACATGTGGGCCATACAAAATGAAAAGAGAAAGCGACATTGCAGAGTGATACATGTTTTTCAATGTTCAAATATGTCAGTCTGACCGGGTTACCCAATCAATAGCCTTTCACCCAACTGCCAATAAATATTGTACTTAGCTTCAGTAAACCCAACAAGGGGGATATGTGTTTCAGAAAGATAAGTGAAAACCCAGGCTACTTGTTGAAAGCTGTAGATGAAATGCCCAAAAGGTAAAATTACAATTTTAATGTTAAAATTAAGCTTCGGTTCTGCATTTCAAAGTGTATATAATCAATATCTGCGATTTCATACAATAACACCCATGCTACAATGTTGAATAATCTATTGGAAATGGAAAATTACCATAATTGTGTTTCAATGTAAAAAAAAAAAAAAAACACACACACAACAAATAAAACCCAACATATTTAAATGTTATAATTTTCTGTTCCATAACTGTTTCAAAGCATTTGTAGCCTGTGTTGTGCTGTTAAATATATTGGATCCCCAGGGATGTGAAAACCACATGATACTTTTTAATCTATTAACAGCTTACACTTTATCTCCATTAATAATTAATAATGCCATTTTATATTGTGTTTAACAATGTATTCAGTTCATACTGAATAATCAACAAATGGCAGTGGATTACAATACATTGTTTCTTCAGCAAAATGTGCTGAGTCTTGGCACAGAGTCTCTTTCTCTCTCAAGCTACCTGAACTTAATGTAGCGTTATTAATTAAAGCACTGTATTGTACTGATCATGAGAGGGATACCCCCCACCCTCCAGCCCCCACAAGCCATAGCCCCCTCTCTCTGTGTCTGTGAAAGAGTTAATCCACAGGGCAGGTACAACTCAGAAACACAAGATCTGCTTACAGTAATTACTCTCCCCCCAATTATCTGCACCTCTCCAGCTCTGCATACCCTGTTAAAGGCTTTAAAAGCAGATTGGAGACATCGTATACCTCTCAGGGGGTAAACTATACTTCTGTTCTTTGTAAAGTAAATTTAAAAAAAAAATAGAAATCACAAAATTCAATGTTAAAAATGATACAAAAGGAAAAATGCAATATGTATTTTATATATATATATATATAATAAAATGAGAGATGCAATAATTGTACTCAGAATGGAGACAGGTTCTAATGTGAATATGCATGTTGCTGAGACAGTGCCCAATAGGTAAGATTAGAGTGCTTACCTTTTTTTTTTTCCTCCTGCTGGAAACCAGTCCCTGTGTCTGAGGGCAGTATGAAGCTTGCTGCTCAGTGCAGCTAATCACAGGATATACACTGATAATAATGTCTTCAGTGCTTCCTCTTGTCTCTGCTTCCAGAGGTGATCAGCTGAAGTCTACTGTACAAAATAGCCCGGATGTTTTACACACACTGTCTACCTTCCTGTCCATGGCTTGATCCATCCTATCACACAGTCTGGCTTTCTTTTCTCCAGTTGCACAGAGATGCTGGCTCACCCTCCCTCCCTCACTTGCCCTTTCTCCTTCTGCCCCCCCTTTTCTCTTTATTCACACTTCTTTTTCATCTGCTGCTTTCTTATCACCCAATCTCCCTTTCTCCCTTTACCTCTGTCTCTCTGTGTCTGTCTCTCTCTCTGCCCCCACTTTCTCTCTCTCTCTAGCTATCCCTCTCTCCCTCCTTTGTTTTCCTCACTTTATTTCCCTTATGTCCTTTCCACACCTACTTATCTCATCAGATTCCATCTCTCACTCTTATTTTCATTAAATGTGACACAAGTCACCCCCAGGCACAGAGAAGGTGACACTGCATTCACCTCTTAGAAAAGTACATAATGTTAAAGAGCTTACTGCCCACTCTCTGTAATCATGTCACAAATCAGGAGAAATCTGGATTGGAACATATTTTATAGCTCCTATGTTTAAAGACAGAATAATAATAACTGAGTCAACCTGCAAAAAAGGACTGAAAGGAAAATGTTTTATTATAAAATAAAGGTTTAAGGTGTGAACATGTGAACATTTTATACTGAGGGGGTTTTAATATTTTTTTC